AAACTGGAAAACAAAATTCTGCCGAGCCGCTGCCTTTGAAGCTATCCAACATCTCGTTTGGGGTCACATCAATTCATCCAAGAAATCCCAATTTACTGTGCTACACACAGAAATCACCTATCAATCACGTCTACTACCCTAATACCGCCTAAGGGGAATTTAGACGATAATGGATGGATAACTTCTGGGGTCAGGATACACTATTCACACGATCTCCCGCACGAGGACTGTAAAAAAACACCCCGGGGGATAATGTCGGTAGCCTAATGTGACCCCAATCTACGACTACCAGCATATCCAGTCCTATCAACGCGCTGTTGATATCGATTTTCGCGGAAAGCACTAGCACTAGCATGCACAGCTTGTTTAGAATGGCGCTTCAAAGCGAGCGTGTGGAGTACAAGGATCGTACACAACACACTGCTTTTTGAACAGAAAAAATCCGCCAAGGAAGAATCTTGCTAAGAAATACGTAGACAACCCTAAATTTGACTGCGCCACCACAGCAAGACATCGCTAGAATCCGGTTTTCCACTGATTCTTCATTCCAAAACAGTCCCTCAAAAAGTGTGCGCACGAACTCTAGGCAAAGTTGCTCTGGGGCTCGAAAAGACATTTTTTTGGCTGTTCGCTGCGTGCTCTTGATGTTTTGCCTGAAAAACTCAAGAAACCTTACCGGTCCTCCTCCATATCCGCCGCCACCAGCACCGCCGTATCCACCACCACCTCCTCCACGTCCTCCGCCATAGTAATCATCTCTTCCAGCCATCTAAAAGCTTTTGTTTAGATTCATCATCCTTTGAAACACCAAAATAAGAACGAGGCAAAAGCTGGAAAAACGACCTAATGGAAGGACATCACGCAGACAGTCTGGAAAGAGGCAGATGATGTAAATGCCGCAAGAAGATGCGAGTCTTCAGCAAGTGAAACTAACTAATTCACAAACTGAACCTCTAAAAGAAGCGCATGACCATAAGCAGTAAGCATTGAGAAGCACTTCGCAAAAATCTGCACCTCAATCAGTCTACGAAATCAAAGCTCATAACAATCAACCCTTCTTGCCCCTCTAATCGTAAAAGATACTTTCCCTCTTTTAATATGAGCAAACAAGATCTACCACAACGAAACAGGACTAACTACGAAACAACAAGTAAACTAAGGATGTGCAAAAATGCCGCCCCTGAAGACGCGTCGCGCAAAACTTGACCGGCGTGTTGTCTGGCTCTATGTCATAAAGGGAGCGACTCTGTTTGTCTGACTCCGCCCTTTGCAAAACCAGAGCGTGACCTTTTGACCGGAGCACGTTTATCGTCGCCTTTGACACTGAAAGCATTTAAAACCCCTTTCGAAAATTCGCCGCGTATATCGAGCTGATTGCAAAGATTCCGTGCTCGTCTTATTAAATAGGTGAGCTAATCAATTCAGTTCAATTGATTGCTTTGATTCTTCATTTCTCTACCTTATTACCTTCTCCACTTATGGTTAATTTTATAGGTATAAAAATGGCTACTTTTGCTTCGAGCGACATTTCAAAGAAGGTTGTTGAAGAAGAAGAAGTAGAAGAGCCAGTGAAGAAGAAATACGAGCCGAAGAAGCTCCACACTACGGAAGTAGCTTCATTATTCGATTTGAAGAGCGAATACTTGAGAAAGAAAAATGATATTGTGCAAAGCACTACTGGAGAAATCTACAGAGGTGGAAAAAGTGTGAGTATCCCATAAACATATCTGTCATTTCTTTCCAGCAATCAATTTTGTTTCTGAACATCCCAGCTTGTCTGTTTACACTTTGTCCTCATCCTTTGTGTAATTACACCAGCATGAGACCACCAGTGTAATTTTGATCACCTTTATCATCATCTTCTTGCTCTTTTTAGAGCGTTCTAGCTGTAAATAAAGAGGAGAAAGTCTCGCAGAAGAAAGAAGCCCAAGAAAGGAAAAGGCGCATCAATGAGCATGAAGCTGCTTTGCGGAAAGAAGAAGAGGAGAGGCTTGAACTGGTGCGGAAAAAGTTGAAGGTTAGTTTTTATCAGGTTGAGTTTTCTCATGCAAATATCATTTTTCGGAATTACTGGAATCAATGCGGCATCGCAATTCCATCGCACATTTCTAGCAAACCGCAGAATAGCAGATGTTCTCATGTTATGTACGGCTAAAAAAGGCAATCAGCAATTTATATATTGCCTAGATAACACTGCCTTTGCGAGAATTTCATTGAAAGGAATTTTAGGCTTCGAATCTTG